TGCCGATGGTGGTTGTGCTCAGACTGCGAGGCCTGGCTAGAACGGCGGCTGGAGAAGCAGGGGGAGATGCCAGATGATCGACGACTGCTGCTCAGGTAGGCCGAGCTGGTGTTGCTGCCACTGCTGTCCCGGCGTTCACGCAGCAAATTTAACACCGTCAGCTCTGTGTTGGACGGCTCAAGACGTGGAGGAGGCTGGGGAACCCCCACAGAACTACTCCTACCAAGGCATGAACCTAATAATGAGAAATACTCTTATTAGGTGAGGTTAATGTTATTATTACGATGCAATTATAGTCATAATTAGACATTAATGGGTAAGTTTATCCAGAAATGAAACTGTAAATGAAAAATGAAAAAATCAAGAAATAAAGTACAAAAGTATTTTGTATTTTAAATATTTAAAGTATTTTGTGTCACGTCTTATTAATCATGATTTCCTCAAAACTGTCCTGATTTCTCCTTTTATGGTCTGAAAAAGAAGGCTGTACAGCATTTAAACAACATAAGGTTGAGTAAATGATGACTTAATTTTCATGTTTGGGTGACCTAACCCTTTAAATGTGTAAATTTCAGTATATTGAGAAAGCTCTGAAAGTAAGGATGTACTTGCACTCGGCACAGGTGTATTGTACCATGCCCAAACATGATTGTACCCCTTCCCCACTCCCCTGCTGCATTCATATTGCACTTTAAAGTTCCGGGCCTGAGCATGTCTTTATGATGCAACTGTTTTGGAGAAAACAGGATCAAAAGCACTGTCACTAAGCATAACAGAATACATAAGAAATGTTAACTCTGTGGCTTATTATTTTGAGCCATTTGGGGTGTGGTGACACACGGTCCTCTCACATGCATAATATGTTGTTTAAAAAATCTTTGTTGATAGATTTGTTAAGAGATGTTGGTTAAATGGAACAGCTGCATAACTGATGTCATGTGTCTCGGCATTGTTAGCGCTCATACTATATGAACCGTGTCTGAGCCCACCTTTTCAAGCAGGCCAGGGAACACTAGTTAAATGAACTGGACTTGGGGGGTCAAACGTGCTCGGGTATGGTTCAGATTTCCTAGTGTAAGTACACCCTCAGACTTACCCTTTCCTGTGAGGGCAGGCAGGGCCTGGCCTTTAGGGGGCGGTGTTGGGGACATATGTCCTAGCCTAGGCACAGCTCCATTCACCTGCCTTAACCTCTCCATCTTAACATGCTCCATCCAGCGTAGAGGCCGTCCTACACTTCGGCGAGTCTGAAAAGCTAGTGTTGCCGCTGTGGTTGTTGCAGTGGATATTGTAGAGTCCATAATGAGGGCATCCTCCTCCTCTCCCTCTTCTTCCTCCTCCTTCTCTTCATTTTCCTGGTCCTCAATCACTGCCTCCTCCCCCGCAAGCCCAATGCTTTTCACAGCAAGCTGGACTCCACGGCCGATATGGGGGCCGCCGGTGGACTGGTCACTGCTGCATGAAGACTGACCGCCAGTGCTTGGCTGAGACGTCTAAGAAGGGAAGAGAAGAGAGACCATATATTTTACATTTTATTCAATTTATCACAGAAAAAAAAAACAAAAAAAAACAATCCTGATCTTCTGGCACATTTTTTTTTCTGGCACAGGTGAAATGGATAAATGCAACGAGGAGAGTGAAATGCCATGTTGACAAAATTTCTCATATTCTGGCATGTAATAACACCTAATAGAACCGAGGTCTGCAACCCTACCCCTGAAAAATATGGAAGCATACGGGTAGCAAAATTCATTTTGAAATATAATATGCAAAATGACAATGCAATATGTAAAATGGCAATGTATTT